CGTACCTGGAATGGGAAGACCGATATTTTCTTTGTAGACCCCGACTGAAGGTGAGCGCTGGCGGTTACATCAAGTACGAGAAGAATATCCTCCCTACATGTGGTCGCCCGTACCTTCTTGGAGACCTTGTGCTGCTACAGGTTTGGGTGCCACCACATGGAATCGAAGGGTTTTGGAAAAACTCCCGCCTACTTCGAATGGAAGGGCGTTTCGTACCTGATGAAGATGTAATATTGAAGTATGTCCCCTGACCTGAACCCACTCAATTACCTAGTTCGGGCGGAGCTCAACAGGGTGGTCTACAGTGGCGGAGAAATCAACGATCTCGCTCAACTCCGGTACCCACTCACTTTCGCGCGGCCGAATCTCTCGATGGCGCTCCTCCAGAAGGCTGTGGCGGAGTATCATTATAGTATTTAATGTGCTCTTTAATATGGTAGTAAAAATGTCCGATAAAAATTTAATAAAGTGTAACTTATAGCGCCTTGAAAGTCATGGAGGCAAAATGACTTTTTTTGGCCCCCTGTAGTCGAAATTGACTCGACCGCTAAACTTTAGAGTCTCCCGTAAAAGTTAAGGACATTGGCAAACGTTTAGTAAAAGGAGAAATATGATGAAAATGGCCGTAATCATACGTGAGTTAGGCCGAATTAAATGATTGGCACAGAAATTGTGTCGGTGATCAGTACCATAAGTTTGACCATGCGCGCAGTGGTGCGAGTCAGCCGGAACTGGTTCAACAATATATCAATGGAAGCAGGTCATTGTGAGAAAGGCCTGTGCACATGGTAGAAGCTGGAAGCGCGAAACTACGAAAAACTTCGCTAAGCACCAGTCTAAAAAATACGAAATGAAAAGAAATATTCCTAAATTTCCGAACTGAAAGCAACAGTCACTTCGATGAAATTTCCTGTTTGGAAGAAGCTGCTACAGAAGTTATTGCGAAATTTCAAATCTGAAAAAAATGCTATCGGTAGGAAAATATAGGAAACACAACTCATACAAGCAACTCGGGAACGTTTCTAAAAACCCAAAGCGTGTCTGCACAGAAAGATCAGAAAATCGGAGAAGAAGAAAGGACAGCCACATGAAAATGGAACGTGGATATGAACACGGCCTTCTGAGATTTACTCCGATCGCGCTACCCAGTTCGCGCGACCCCAATTCGCGCGATCCAGTTTGCGCGACCCCAACCGCGCAGTCCAATCCGCGCGATCCAGTTCGCGCGATCGCAAAGTCTGAACGCATAATTTGCAGGTTCTATAACAATATTCGGTAAAGATGTTGAACGAAACCCTCACTCAAGCATGGGCTTCTGTCCACAGTGGAACAGCATTTTCGAATGCTTCACCGTTGATGACCATCTTTGGTTTTTCTTCAAATTGAAAGGAGGTGACGGTAATTGGAAGGAAAATGCAAATGAGCTATGCTCATCTCTGGACATGCAACAGCTCCGGAAAAAGGTAAGTTATCTAGTGAGATCTAACTGTTTTCGATACTGGAATTGCAACTTTCGCACATTTCTACTTTATGTACGTTCTTGCTTTAAGAAAGCTTCGAAACTGTCTGGTGGTGAAAAACGGAAACTGTGCTTGGCCATGGCTTTTATCGGAGGATCCAGACTCCTGATTTTAGATGAGCCAACAGCGGGAATGGATCCGCATTCTAGGAGAATCGTTACAGACTTCGTCATAAAACAAAAGCAAGACCGGTGAGCGTCCATGTCTCTTGAAGGCAGCCCCGCGCTAGAGTAGTACATGGTCGTCCTTCCTTGTGCAGGTAGTTCAGCCCCCAAGCTAGATACTGTCCCACTCTCGCGACTCCACAGTGAGCGAGGAGCGAGCTACAGCCGCTCAAAGTTCTAGTTCTAACGCCCGCCCAGTTGGACCGCCCACTTGCTAGCTGCCCTCTGACGGAGAGCCGCTCAGTTGTTCTTTGTTGGGACGGCGGGCATTAATCGGAACTGCATGTACTTTTTGCTGACCGCGCTCGTGAATAATTCTGCTCTCCTTCATCACATTTTATTCATTGGGAGCACATACAGTCAACTGCAACCCATCTCGTAAGGTAAAACGCGTAAAAATCACGAATGATGCAATTTCTGTGGTGCAAAAGCTCGACATGCACCAAAAGCTGCACACTGCACGTAACCCCAACACCAGGTTTTTGAATTTTTCCTTTTTCAAGTGTTTTCGTTCGTGTCTTTGTTGTTTTTCATATTCTTTCCTTTGAAATGGATGTTGTCCAGTACGGGGAAATGCCTGTGTTGTCCAGTACGGGGAAATGGTGTAGCTGTAAGGGAGCAAATCTGTTTGTGGTGGTCTTGAGGGCTCCTGTTCCTTTTTCATTCAT